ATATATATATAAAGGCTCTTTTTATAGTTACATTTATTCTATTGTTTGGACTCACTAGGCGTAAGCCTAACACTCCTTCTTGAAATGGGTTGCTTATCAGGTTCCTTTAGCGGCGGGGTTCTGAAGGGTTGAGAAGAACGTTTCGTAAAAACTTTTTTTGTAATTAAAGCACTTGGTGCTTTGAGCATTGCAATATTGGTTAATACTGTATTTTGTTGGAGATGGTAGAAACACCCGTTTTTAATCTAGGCATACAATTGTTTAGATTAATAGGTTGTTAATTATCGTCTCATTTGTTGTTTTGTAAACACTTCACTTTTCCCCTTTGTTGGGTGATTTTCTTATTAAACTCTAGTTTTCCGCTTTGTATTTTCGGTTAAATTATCTCCTACCTTATTGTTTTCTTAGGGTTTTACAAGTTGGTATCAGAGCCCTAGTTTAAGCGAACTGGGTATGGAATTAAGACACCCAGACTTAAGCTGAATTTGTAAGTGTTAATTTGTGTAAAGTGGGTAGAACTTTTAAGATAGAAGAGCTTTAGAGTTGACGGAGTTGCATAATTCATGAATTGTGGCGATGGTGTTGAGGATCCTTATGTATAACCTATTCAAAATTTCACTTAGCTAATGTCATTTTAAGTAAGTTGTCACATAACTGTACTTGAACTCACTGCTATTACGAGAATTTATGATTGTGTCGGTACTGTATTATGTTAGTTCTGTATTCTTCCTATCCTAACTCTCTTTCTCTCTCTTGCATAACATTCTTTATGGTGAATACTCAGAGTAGACGAGATACCTCACCGAAAGGTCACGCGGTGACTGAATCTACCGTGGATCAACCGCCAAGGACTGCAATCGCAAGGGTGCATCCTAGGCAAAACACCTTGGGCGGTGGAGTTGACCACGTTTCCCAAGTTAACTTTGCCATCTCTAACCCCGTAATGGAAGAGGAAACCACGTAGTTAAGAATGATGGGAACATTGATGAATACTAGGATTAGAGCTATGGCCCAACAACAGGAGTTCTTTATGAAGTTGTTGGAGGATAGAGATGCCAACAACCGTAAGCATGAAGCGGTTGCCGAGAACGTAACTATTGTGGGATTCGGGGGTACCGGAAATGGAATCCTAACCCAGGAACTAGCAACGATTGATGCAAGACAAGTGGGAAGAGTTTGCTCCTACAAGACGTTTTTAAGTTGTAAGCCACCGGAGTTTGTGGGGTCAGATGATCCCGTGGCATGCATGAATTGGCTTCGAGAGATCGAGCAGGCCTTCCGGGCTTGTGACTGTGATGAGGGACAAAAGGCGAAATTTGGCTCTCAAATGCTAAGGGGTGCGACCCTCACCTGGTGGAACATTGTCATGTGAACCATAGAGGCCCAGGAACTAGCCAAGATAAGTTGGGCCACATTTAAGGAGAAAGTATTGGAGGAATGTTGCAATGAACAAGAGATGAACCACATTGAAGAAGAGTTCCGAACCCTTAAGAAGGAAAACTTGTCAGTAAGAGACTACACACGACTTTTCATGAAAAAACTAAATTTAGTGGGGCATGTGGCTCCAACGGGGAAAGAAAAGATGAAAGCTTATCTAAAGGGGTTGCCCGCAGACATGATGGTTATGGTCAGGAACTCCAGGGCCTCCACCCTTAGGGAGGCAATCGAGGAGGCAAAAGTCATGGAATTGGTCTACGTTAAAGGGAGAGAAGAGAAAGTGGTAAGTGGTGAGAAAAAGAAGTGGGAAGGTCAATATGCACCTTCTAAGAGACCAAACCATCTCAACAACAACAATCGTGGAATTTATCCTAGACAAGAGGCTAGGTGGTGTCCCAAATGCCACACTAAACACCACGGCCCGTGCACCACCAGCTCTACTCCCGCAAATTGTTTTAAATGTGGTAAACCAGGCCACACACGAAATGAGTGTTCGGTCAAAGGACCCATCTGTTTTGGATGCGGAGAGTCGGGTCACTTCAGGAATGATTGTCCGAAGATGAAGGCGATATGGGGTCAGGGGAGAAAAGAAAGTACCCAAAAAACAATCGGCCGAGCCTTTCAGATGACTGTGGAAGAAGCCAAAGCATCATCTGATGTGGTGTCGGGTACATTCCTCGTTCACTCCGTACCTGCACACGTACTTTTCGATTCGGTGCGTCACGTTCTTTTGTGTTTATTACATTCCACCAACACTTGCATCAGCTCTCTAGTGCACTGGAAGATGCCTTAATCATAGGAATAGAGAATGGTAGTCGAGTCTTGGTGAGTGAAGTTGTTAGGAGTTGCGTGTTGGAAATCGAGGGAAAGGAATTTCGAGTAGATCTTATACCCATGACTATAGGCGGATTTGATGTCACAATTGGAATGGATTGGCTGGTAGAAAACCAAGCAGAAATCTTATGCTCTAAAAAGTTGATCCGAATACCTTTGCCGAACGGGGATACAGTGTTAGTTTATGGAGAGGGAAGGAAAGGAAACGTAGTACTCTTATCCGCGGCAAAGGCACACAAGTGTCTAGCTAAGAGATGCTCCTCGTTCATCGCATATGTGCTAGATACCAAACCAAAAAAAAAGAGAATTGAAGATGTGAAGGTGGTCAACGAATTTCTCGACGTATTTCCTGTAGACTTACCCGGTTTACCACCCGTTAGGCAAGTGGAGTTCCGAATCGACCTTAATTCGGGAACCGCTCCTCTTGCTAGAACCCTTTACCATTTGGCTCCATCCGAGATGCAAGAGTTAATGTCTCAATTGCAAGACCTTCTTGAAAATGATTCGTTAGACCTAGTTCGTCACCGTGGGGAGCTCCAGTCCTATTTGTAAAGAAGAAGGACGACACACTGAGAATGTGGTGACTATAGAGAACTCAATAAAGCAACCGTGAAGAATGAATATCCTCTCCCTAGGATCGACGACCTTTTCGACCAACTTCAGGGAGCCAGTTACTTCTCAAAGATCGATCTTCGTTCAGGATATCACCAGGTACGAGTGAAAGAAGATGATGTGGTGGAGACATCTTTTAGAACGCGATATGGGCACTATGAATTCTTGGTCATGCCCTTCGGATTGACGAATGCGCCAGCGGTATTCATGGACTTGATGAACCGAGTGTGCCGACCATTCCTCGACAAGTTAGTAATAGTGTTCATTGATGACATACTCATTTATTTCAAGGATGAATTGGATCATAAGCAACATCTTTAGGAGGTTCTCGAAATGTTAAGAAAGGAGAAGTTGTATGCAAAATTCTCCAAGTGCGACTTTTGGTTAGAAGAGGTTCGATTCTTGGGTCACATAGTCACTCGAGATGGGGTGAAGGTGGACCCATCCAAGATCGAGGCGATGATGAATTGGGAACCACCAAAGAGTCCATTAGAAATCCAAAGTTTCTTGGGTCTGGCGGGTTATTACAGGAGATTTATCCAAGATTTCTCCAAAGTTGCTTCTTCCTTAACGACGTTGACTAGGAAGAATGTGAAGTTTATCTGGACTAAGAAACAAGAACATGCCTTCAGAACTCTCCAAAAGAAATTATGTGAAGCCCCGATTCTCTCCCGACCAAAGGGGTTCGAAGACTTCGTAGTCTTTAGCAACGCTTCAAAAATGGGGTTAGGTTGTGTCTTGATGCAAAGAGGAAGAGTGATTGCCTACACATCAAGAAAACTCAAAGATCATGAGAAGATTTATCTCACTTGCGATTTGGAATTAGCGGCGGTGGTGTTCGCCTTAAACTTTGGCGACATTACCTTTATGGTACCAAGTGCACGCTTTTCACTAATCACAAGAGTTTGAAAGTACATTTTCGATAAAAAAGAATTAAACATGAGACAACGACGTTGACTCGAGTTGCTCAAAGACTATGATTGTGAATTACTATACCATCCGTGTAAGGCAAATATAGTGGCGGATGCTTTGAGCCGAAAGGAATACGGTAGCGGGACGAAAGTTGTACTTACCAGAATCGATATAGTGTCCAGTCTGATCGATCAGATCCAAGTGGTGCAATTTGAAGCACTTCTGGAAGAAAACCTCAAGAGTAAGGTAATGATGAAACAACGCTTACTGCTGACAGAGGATGGTCGTGGCTTGAAGTTGTTTCAAGGGCGTATATGGGTACCCAAGATTGGAGGCAATCATGAACTGTTACTAGAAGACGCACACAAGTCTAAATACTTCATTCATCCGGATAGCACCAAGATGTATCAGGACTTGAAGCTGACATATTGGTGGCCTGTTATGAAGATAGATATGGCTCGTTATATAGATAAGTGCGTGACTTGTTTGCAAGTGAAAGCGGAACACCAACGACCTTATGGTAGCCTTCAATCCTTGGAGATCCCCGAGTGGAAATGGGAGCATATTACGATGGATTTCATGAACAAACTGCCGAAGACTTTAAGAGGTCATGCTATGATATGGGTAGTGGTTGATCGACTGACAAAGAGCGCTCATTTCTTGGCAATGCATGAATCGTTACCAATAGACAAGCTTGCCATGTTATATATCGATGAAGTAGTCTCGAGGCACGATATACCATTGTCAATAGTGTCAGATCGAGATAGCCGATTCATCTCCCATTTCTAGAGTGGCTTACAGAAAGAATTGGGCACGAGAGTGAAGTTGAGTACAACATACCATCCTCAAACCAATGGTCAGATTGAGCGGACCATTCAAACCCTCGAAGACATGCTTAGATCGCGTGTTATCGACTTTGGCGGGAATTGGGATTCTCACCTACCCCTAATGGAGTTCGCCTACAACAATAGTTATTATTCCAGTATCAGGATGGCACCTCTTGAGGCCTTGTATGGATGAAATGCAGGACTTCGGTGTGTTGGTTAGAAGCGGGTGAGAAACAATTCGCCGGTCCCGAGATCGTACAGGAAACGACCGACAAGGTGAAGTGTATACGGGAGCGCTTAAAGGCGGCTCAGGATTGACAAAAGAGTTACGTAGATAAGAGGAGCTGACCTATAGATTTCCAAGTGGGCGACCGTGTTATGCTAAAAGTATCTCCTTGGAAAGGCGTTATCCGTTTTGGAAAGCGTTGGAAACTCAGCCCTCGTTTCCATAGACCGTTTAAAGTCTTGGCTATGGTGGGTCTTCAAGCTTATAAGCTAGAACTACCACCAGAAATGGCTGAAATCCATAGCACATTCCATGTGTGCTACCTTCGTAAGTGCTTAGCGGAAGAAGAAAGTGTGATTCCACTTTTGGAAATTCTTGTGGATGAGAACAACCGGTGCATTGAAGAACCGGAAGCCATCTTAGAAAACAAGACCAAAGTGTTGAGGCGTAAAGAAATTGTCATGGTTATACTTCAATCGAATCATCACCGAGGGTCAAACGTAACATGGGAAGCGGAAGAGGGCTTGAATAGGCGTTACCCTCACCTTTTCGCTTGAACTAAAATTTCGACCCAATGTGAGGAGGATTGTAACCTCTTTAATTTTTCCCTCATACTCTACTCCGTACACGTCGGGATTTTTCGTCTCGTTTGCGAGGTATACGTTCTTTATATATTTATATTAGGAGCTTAGAACTTTTTATTTTATTAGGTCTTTCTAAAAAAAATGTATATGTATATAAATATAGGGTTTGAAAAGTTTGGTTGAAGGGGAGTAAAAAGGGGGGGGTGTTACCTACTGCGTTTTGATCCTAACCGGTAGACTTTCTTTACCTTGGAAGGGTTCCTCCTTTTGTTTTTGAGTCCTTACCTGTTGTTTCTTAAAATGGTTGGGAGTGTGAGGAAGTAAAGGAGGACTGAAGGGGGCTATACCTAGGGAAGGGAGTCCCCTCCATTCGGTAAGAGGAAAATAAATAAATTGAAGAAACAGGGGAGGGCTGCTGTTTTAGAGAGAAGGGGAAGGGTGCTAGTCTCATAATCTAAAAATTAAACCCGTTGGAAGAAACTGCAGCTGCCGGAGTTGGCTGCCTTAGCGCCGCGCACGTCTGCACCTCACCTTCAGTCACGCGCGTCTGCACCGTGCCTCTAGCCTGCGCCTCCAGCCCACGTCCGACTGCACCTCCAGCCGCTTCCGCAACTTGGATCACCAGGCAGCAGGCACTGCCGTGCCACACCAGGCGGTAGGCGCTGCTGTACCATACAGGCAGCAAGCGCTGCCGTGCCACGTCGGGCAGCAGGCGCTGCTGTGCCGTTTCAATAGCTTGCACCCGATTCTTGGTTCACTTCGGCTTTCTTCTACTTTGTTTCTTGGAGTAGAAGTGTAACCATCCTGTTTTTGGGTTTTCCTTCCGACTGCCTTTTGGTTTCAGATTTTGGGGTTATCTCTAAACCCTCCAAGTGAGTTCACTTCATACCTTTTGTGAGACCTTATATTAAGTGTGATAGTGTGTTTTTATTTGCCATACACTCTAGTTCCTATAAAACCACCTTATTTGGATGAAATGAGAATTTTGGGTCAAAAGTGTGTGAACTTGGGAATTCCGTTGATAATGATAGGATGGGTGTGAATATGGTTTAATCACTAGGAGGATTGCACATTTCAAGTATTGTTTGCCATAAAACCTTAAAAGCCCTTATAATCTATACATGGAGTTCTTTCCTAGTAGTAAGGAAATATTTCGTTGCCTTAGAATTCATGTGAAAATCTTATTGTCAAATAAGTGTTATTATGCATAGGTTGTTGCCTTAAAACATATCACCGGGATGTAATGGGGCATGGGCACGGAAGTTGATTTATTTGTTTTGTCTAAAGGATGATGTGATTTGGATTTAGGCATTATGATCATTATCTAACTTCCAAAATCATCTTCTCACTTCCACTCGGAAATAAGCATTGAGATGATTATGTAATTTCCGAGGTAAAGAGCTTAAGATCACGACCGACTACATAACTGGTTAGGTTGATGTCAATGGTGCTAAACCTGTAAGTGATGCTCTGTAACGTTGATCTATGACTTACTTTGTGTTCCGTCAAATCAACGGTAAATCGGGTCTCTCCCGTCATCTTCGGATGTTTGGCTCCACCATGTTATATTTAGGACTTATTGTTCTCCTTAAACTGTTTAAAGTCAACTATATATTTCTATATATATAAAGGCTCTTTTTATAGTTACATTTATTTTATTATTTGGACTTACTAGGCGTAAGCCTAACACTCCTTGAAATGGCTTGCTTATCAGGTTCCTTTAGCGGCGGGAATCTAAAGGGTTGAGAAGAACATTGTTTGTAAAATAATTTTTGTAGTTAAAGCACTTGATGCTTTGAGCGTTGCAATATTGGTTAATACCGTATTTTGTTGGAAATGGTAGAAACACCCATTCTTAATCTAGGCATAGAATTGTTTAGATTAATAGGTTGTTAATTATCGTCTCATTTGTTGTTTTGTAAACGCTTCACTTTTCCCCTTTGTTGGGTGATTTTCTTGTTAAACTCTAGTTTTCCACTTGTATTTTCGGTTAAATTATCTCCTACCTTATTGTTTTCTTAGGGTGTTACACATAGACTGCAACTAGTGTTCATATATGTTCAGGTGTGTTCATATATGTTCCAGTAGGGACATGAATCAAGACATTCTATATTGAATTTATAATTTTTGTTAATTTATTATTGATCTTGTTTTTTTTGTAATATTGATTTTCTATCTATAATGTTTTTGAATTTGTGATTGGTAGAAGAGACCCGGTAGTAAAGTTTTCGGTATCGTTCAAGCTATTATGGATAAACCCATTGTTCATAATGAAGAAATTATTGTTCACAAGTGTTCATATTGTGTTTATATGTACGGTAGCTGCAAATCTCAACATTGATTCGCTCCTGAATATGTTCACAATGAAAAAAACTATTGTTCACAAATTGTTCATATTGTGTTCATACCTGTTTTTATTTATTTATTTCCTTTCGTATAGCAGCTATTCTTATTATGTTCATAAATGCTATGTAGTCCAAGTTTATATATATGTCAATTTTTGTTCGTATTTGACACAATGGTTCATATATATATATATATATATATATATATATATATAAATGTGTTCATATAGTTCTTACATTAACAAAAATAATGAGATTTTTTGATTTTGTAACTCCCAATTAATGATATGAGAGTTATATAGAAAAGAAAATTATCTAAATACCCTTTTCCCTATGTTCATATATGTTCTTTGAAATTGTAAATTTAAAACATTAATTTTTTATCATGATTAATCACAACCGTTTATTGTAAAAATTAATGACCAAGATTGGTTAACAAAGTTAACACAATAATCTTGATTAACATTTGAACCA